GGCCTCCAACCTACTAGCGATGGCCTCCAACCTAAGTTAAGAGCAATGGCCTCCAACCTACTAGCGATGGCCTCCAACCTAAGAGCAAAGGCCTCCAACCTACTAGTGATGGTCTCCAACCTAAGAGCAATGGCCTCCAACCTAATGGCGATGGCCTCCAACCTACTAGCGATGGCCTCCAACCTACTTACTAGTTGGACTACGGCCAATTGTTTTCACCAGTACGTGCAAGCATCCATGGCTCATGACGAACATCCACGGACAGGACTACCTCTTTGCCTTGGTCATTGCCATCTACGTTGGTGCAGTCTGACTGCGCTTGGCACTTTTTGTTTAGCCTGGCACTGACTAACAAAGAGACTAGCTGCTCGTCCAACTTCGGGTCTAGCTGTCCATAGAACACTGAACTCAGCTACATCCAAGGCCTCCACCTTGCGTTACCTCTACGTCCCCCACCACGAGGCTCTCGAAAGCGTGAGGCGAGGACGCCCCACCAGGGCGTGGAGAAGGATTTTGTCTGCAGAGGCACAGATTGAAGCCCCCGGCACCGGACTGGTGGCGCCCTATGCCTTTTGCTTGACAGTGCTTTGGCGAGGATCGCTTGCAGCTAGCCAGGTGCTGTTTGTTCAAAGCAGGTCAAAACTGAAAGGTTGTGGCAGTGGCCCCTCTAGTGTAGAAACAGTAAAGATATGATGAAATCTCGTTTATGCGCTTGGTCAGCTTGAATCAATTGAAGAACGACCCGTCAGTTGATAGGAAAGGCTGGGTAAAGGTCTTTTGCTACTGAGGGTAATAGGCTAAAATTGCAAGAAGCGGGTGCACCATCATACCTACCACTCATGAGAATCCTGCCGTGGTTCCATCGCTGGTCACTGCAACTGCCACAATGAACCATATTGCTTGATTTTATCATTCTGAACATCTTCTGATCGGTTCTACCAGGGCATTCATTGTTGGAGGATGCAATGATAGGCAGAAGACCGGCCCCCCGTGATTCGGCGCAGCGAACCAAAACACCGCCTCCATGGGCCACCAGGCAGCCACCGTTGCAAAGAATTGAGGCGAACATGACACCATTGACCCTGTGCAGCGCTTTGTATGGCCTGTATTCCTCTAGCAAGCACATTGGCTTTGGACGAATGCATTGGGAGCTCTGGGGCTGGGTGATGGAATTCCGAGCGGTACGGAAGTCCAGTTCATGGACTCCGAGACCTGAATCGAAATGCTACGTAGCACGTAGCCGTTGGCGTTATTTTCCCTTGTTAGCTGCAATGGTTTGTTCGTTGGTGCTCTCAAAGCTGATGTTTTTTTCATCCCAAGTCCTGTTTGCATTGCTTCTATGTTGGAGGCCATCATTGCCTGTTTGCAAAATAAAATAGGTTGTATTTTTCCAGAAGCTCGGATGTCCACAAATTTGATCAAACTTGAGGATGCTCATTTGGTACTTTTTGGCCTCCATGTCCGAGCTGTGCACCTTTGCCATCGTCAGCCGCACCTTCCATCCACTCTTCACCTTGTTATGCTATGTCCTGGCTGCCGGCATCAATGCCATGAGCGTGGCTATGCGCCACAGCTGCAAGCATGCAATGGATTGTTTCTTGCAATCCCTTCGATATCCTTCGTGTGTGTTCTTTGGATGCCACACGAACACCTGGTCCGTGGCCATTGAGAGTGCATTGCAGAATCAGACGTTCGTTGTGGCACCATACTTGGGGCCTGGTTTGCCCGCTGCGCTTTTTGTCATGTTGCGTTTGTATTTGTGGGTTGTTTTTTTGCTTTGCTCTTTCTTTGCCACATGGGATTTGTTCTTGGCACCTGACAATTGCACGACCAATGGGGTGGCCAGTACTACATGACGAGTTTATTCTTCCTTTGGAGTCCATGGCACGTGTAGTCCAATCATGCGTTTTGGAAGAGGACTGCAATGGAGAGGAAAATGGGCTGAACCCAGCATGCATTTGGAAGGGCCTGCTTCTGGCATTGGCTGCTTTGACACTACCTGTTCGATTCATTGGAACGTTGTTGTACGTCATCTCCTGGTTCGACTACGAAGAAGAACTTGACCTGGCACAGCAGTTGATCCAAAAATCGGATGAGGCTGAATCCTGGGCCGAGGAGCAGGCAAAACTGCATAAGGATAAGGATTGTTTAGAGCTCTTGTTCTTAGTCCGAACCCCAGACGTGGAGGATTCCGAACAAGACTTGTGTGGTTTGTTGAGCATGCAATCCGATGTGACGGAGATCAGTTCAGACTCAAGAAGCGACGGCCCCAAGCCTTGATCTATGTGACCGGCCTGACTGATCGGACGTGTCCTCGCAGTCGGTAGGTGTCCCAACGCCTTCTTTATCCGAATCTCCTAAGGTTGGATTCACATTGGAGAGTCACATCGAGCTGCGATCGGTGAAAAGGATCGTCTTACATACATCGTTGCGAAAGGTCTTCAAAGGTCTATGCCATATGGGTGGGTGGTTGGGTTGCCAGGCCGCGCTTTTTGGCGCCATGGTCAACCCTTTGCGGCTTTCTTTCGTCTCCTTTGGATCTGCCGCCTTCTCCATCATAGCAAAAGGACCCTAATAGCCATGGCCTCCAACCTACTAGGCCTAGAAGCCATGGCCTCCAACCTACTAGCGATGGCTCTGTCAGGAGACGGACCCCGCCCGCAGCGATCTTGAAGACTTCGTGGACTGGCGCCGGCGGCAGCCCAAGGAGGCCAAGGCCCTGGTGAGCGCGGAGTGCCAGGCGCTCCGAAAAAGCGCCAGGGTGAGCGGTTCGGTGCACATCGAGTTGGAAAAAAGATGGTCACGGGAGGTGGGTACTTTGTGAGGCGATGTTGCCTAGATCTTTAGAGAATTCATGGAAAGAAAGCGCACATCTGCGGTCCATCGGTCCATCGTCCATGTTGACCTCATTCCTGAGCGAGTTCTCGGACTCCGATCAGTCCGCTAAACACCAACGAGAATTGGTCAGTCCAGAAGGAGCTGGGAGAAACGGACGGACACATTTCCACTCCGAGTTGGCCGTTGGCCGGCCGAATTCTGGTGTTTTCGCACAGAAAGGCACCATTGGAACAAGCAAAACCCATCACCTCCGAGCAGAAATTGCGATGTGATGTTGATGCCACTGTTGTAGGGCCAAACATCTTTCAACGAGAGGGAGGCAACGCCAACTGACAGCTTGAACAACACATCTCTGATGTAATAAACGCTTGTCCCAATGCTTGTCCTTTGCAAGGCATTGGCCACCGCGGCGATGGAGGTGAGGAGAAACAGAGGGACCATCGACGGAACCCATGTCGAAGAGGTCTTGATATGTCGACAGATGATCCTGAGACGTTTTAATAATGCTGTTCTTTGATTTGTTCAGGGTCAGCAAGACAAAGAATCCTCCCCAACCTAGCGCACTACGGACAGATTCGTGATGATGCTTGCGTGTAGTCGAGTCTAGATCAACTAAGTCTTCGTGTCCAGTCACACATGTCCTGCTAAGTCCTGCTACCGTCCCGTCCCGCTTGTTTTGTGCTTCTACCTGGCTTGGTCGAGCGTGGTCGTTGGGCAAAGAAGGGGCGAACATGAATCACCTCATGGCCACTTTGTTGCGAGGAACTTTCAGATGGGATGTTGAAGCCAATGTCGCTGGACATGTTCAAAACACCGCCCAGTGAGGCTCCGAATCCCGCCACAACAGGCATTCTTTCCACCGCTGGTCCTGCGGACGCGTGTCCTGCGTTGTTCAGGTGAACGGCGGCGTTGCATCCCCAAAAAGGCCGGTCTTTCGACCAGTCTCGAGCCGTGGCGACGCGAAAACAGACACCGGGGCGAGGAACACGAGGAGGGCCGTGAGATTGATGACAATGAGCATCCTGTGAACCAGTATGAACCAGTGCAAGAAGCTACTAGTAACAAGGTGCATCGCTACGAGCGGAGCAAGGACGCTACGAACGGGGCTCCTGGCCTTACTACTAGGAGCAAAACAGCTACTAGAAACCAAGGGCATCGCGGAGCGGACGGAGCGATTGGACGCGGTCTCCGGACGGGGCGCTCCTGGCCATCGCTACGAACGTAACGAAGGGCATCGCTACTTTGCTTTCAGATCCCGTGTTCAGTTTTGCGCGTGCTCCCACGGGTTCTCTAAGGGGGGCAATATGAAAACGCTCATTCGCTCTCCACAGGGCCTCCCTTTCCTGGTGGCTTCAGTTTTCCATCCTCGCTCCTTGGCCAGAAATGGGTGGGCACTGGAAGGCCCAGGTTGCAAGATGCTCATGTTGGTAGGTATCGATCCCGAGAAAGACAGAAGGAAGCGAGAGGTCAGCAGTGAGATCAGCAGTTCGCTTGAAGTGTTGTAGTGTGTTATAAGGCTGAATGGCCACTGCAAGATCATCCATCATCCAAATCGGCCACAACGATTTGGATCACGTGCTGCTGCGTGTTTCTTTGGGTGAGCAGGATAGATGGCTGGCGAACCAGTGCTGCAGTTACATGCTGCTACCAAGAACCGCATAGAACAGCAAACGACCATTTCGCTGTTAAACACATAAGCTAAAGACAAATTAATTGCATCTGGTGGCGTACCAACAAGGTGGCTTTCCTCAAACATGGAATCGCGCCCATCTTCAGGTTCATTGATGTTTTGTTCAAGTATGTTCATAATGACGTAGCAAGATGTGTACACTCTCTATTACACTCTCATCCACAAAGTGTTACATTCCGAAGATTGATTCCCATCTCTTTTTCTGTTCCAATCGCACACATCGGAAAGACACATGTTTGTTCTAGAGAAACAACCTCAGAAGGCCCACCCTCCGAGGTCTCCGTCGTCTCGCTGGGCCTTGCGCTGGCGAAGCCCAAGCTGGGCGGGACGCGCTGGACGCGGTGAAAAACGGGACGCGGCGGACGCGGCCAGCGGCGCCACAGGGTTGCAGCGCTCTCATTGAATGGACCAAAGGGGGATGAGGAATCGTAGTGGATGATGGATCAAGTCACTATTGAGCGTTTGTTCTAGATTGCTTGGATCAAACCTGTGTGGTACTTACGTTTAGATGACCCTAAATGTAAGAAGACGTTTTGCAAGGTAAAAAGACCGCCACACATTCTTCTTAACAAGTTTCGCCCCCTACGTCTAGACCCATAGGAATGTATGGAAATGTAGGGATGCTAAACATCATTTTGTCACCTCAAGGGTGGTAGAGCGGGGTTGAGATGCAAGTAACAGAGGATGTTGATGTTGAAGATTTTGCCATGAAGGTTCTCTCGACTGAGAACCCCACAAGATTCGCGCACTCGATAGGCGTCAAAGGTGCTGTTTCTGCGGAGGAGGAGGAGGAGGAGGAGCTTCCACACTTCCACACAGACATTTTTGAGCATGTCCAGGGACTACCTCCTATGGGCATCATCCTATACGCGCATCCGGATGGAGGCCATCGCTAGTAGGTTGGAGGCCATATTAGAAACAAAGCAAGAAGAAAAGGAAGAATGGTCTTTCATATATAGTTTGCTATTAGGTTGGAGACAAATTCACGATCAGTTGTGTGCCTGAAAGCGACCACTCCAATTAGGGCTGAGGGCGGTGCTTCTCCTGATCCGTTTTACGAGTGAGGTGAGGGTTTCCAGGTCATGTTTTCACTCCCTTCGCATTGTACCGAGCCAATAGTATCACCAATACCATGCCAATAGCAGAAAGTTTGACTCTGTTTGCAAACCAAAGACTTTGCTGAGCCGTTTCAAATCGTTTCAACAGCCGAAGCTTCATTGGAGCTTCTGGCTCAAGTCACAACCAACATGGGAATAAGTGCATTTACTCGTCACGTGGTCGGGTGGCCATCACTATAGAAGCAACGTGGTTTCTTCTGTTTGCGGTCAAAATAATTGAAATCGCTGAACGAAGGCCAGGCCAATCACCATCCGATAGTCAACTGTGCGAGTGTCAAAGGTTGCCGGCAAAGGAATCGGACAAACACCGGACTTGGGTTTAATTGCAATGGCCTCCACCCTAAGAGCGATGGCCTCCACCCTAAGAGCGATGGCCTCCACCCTAGTAGCGTTGGCCTCCAACCTAAGAGCGATGGCCTCCAACCTAAGAGCGATGGGTTGAATTGTTATCTTTGAAATAATGAGTCGAAACACAACGATCCATCAACTGTGTGATACACTGATACGCATGATCCAACCAACAAAAATCAAGACGACACTCTTGCAGCGCAAGCACTTGCTGTATGGCCATGGCGGAATCTTTGGAGGTAAGGTGGAAGAGATCTTTTGGGGAAGATTTGGCTGGTGACAATGAGGGCGATTTGGACAGGTTCGACATATCCAAGTTTCACCCAGGATCATTTTGACAGTGACTTTTGGTGGTCATTTGGCCGGTGGTTTTGGCCCGATGTGCCTCCAGAACGTCAACAGGCAGATCCCCAAGAGGTCTTGGGTTTGAGCATGTTTGAACCCGATCCAAACCGGATCGGTGCCAGGCTGAACGTGCTGAGATGGCACTGCTGCTTGCTCGCTGCGATCGACCCGCTGTGAGGGTCGGGGCACTCCGGGGAAGTGGGTGTGGTGCAGCGCGGCGGGTTGAACCATGCATGAAAACATATGAGCAATTGCCAAAACCAACAGGTCAATATGTCCTCTTGGTCGGCCGGCTTTAGACTGGAAGCTGGGAGATGTGCAGTCAGGACATGCGTGTTCAGACCATTTTGGTAGAACAACAGACATGTTTGTCGCCATGGACGGACGCCAACACCCGCCGACCTTGCTCGTCCGTCCGCTGACGTCAAATCGGAGCTTTGACCAGCAGCATGTTCCACGGTTTTTGGACCAAAAATTCGATGGCTGCCCACGTTCTGAGCAGTTCCCTTCCTGGATGGGAGACTTGCTGAAGCTTTCGGTTTTCTTTGTGCGATCACCAAATCTTCAGGCTGCCCCTGGTGGCCAAATTAGCTATAGAAACGTTAAAGAGTATTCTAGTTTGGTGCAGCTGTGTCACTAGAAGCTGCTGGCCCAACTAACCCTGGCACAGTCGTAGAATTCACGGATTGCAGTATGAATCCTTTCGGGTCGTTTGATAGTTAGTTCCATGCGTTGCTACATTGGGCCCATATATTTAGGCCTTTGACTTCGTTACTCATGGTGGGGATAAGCCAGCGTTCTTTTCAAGAGTATGTCAAGAGTAAGCCAGCAGTTCCAACAACACGGCGTTCTCCCCAAGTTCAGAAGCGCCAGACCGATGCCAGACAGAGAGGCACCAAGCAAAGCCACGTCCTGAAACGACGGCCACGACGCCATGTCGGACGACTCGCTGTCGAGCGACAGCGACACGTCGGGCACGGCGGATGAGGTGGAGCGGGAGCGGGAGCGCGCGTTGGAGCCGGTGGGTAATCGAGAAAGAAGATCCAACCGAGAACATGTGGTCTTGAAGGGATACAAGTATTGATCATCCAAGCTTGGTTTCAAGAATGCGTTGGGATGTGGTTCTGGCCAGGCTGCATAGCCCAAAGAGGGATCACACTAGGCCAGTATCCTCACGGGCCGAGTACCCGCAAGGATGCGAAAGGTGGAATGATATCCAATATCTGAAGATTGGTAGGACACATGAGGATTGATATCCATTGACACACCATCTGGTGGACACCAATATCGTTACGCAATGATATCCAAAGGTGACTGAAGATTGGTAGGACACA